AAGCTTGGTAATAAAAAAACTTATTGGTTGATGAAACAAGATCAATGATATGCCTAAACCAACCAACAAACAAATATTTGATATAGCTTATTTCTTGCTTTATAATGCATTTTTTACCAATTTGAGCTTGCTGCCACTGTTGATTCTACGATACCATAATAGTATTTTGACAACAAAACATTTGGGGGGAAGGGTGGATAGTTTCTAGTCATTTTTTTCAAATGGGAGAAACAGTCATTTTTTTCAAATGGGAGAAACTTTCCTTAAAATCATCAGTAACACTTCCGCCGAAACTCACTTTTTTATTCATAATATGTTAGTTTGAGAAGTATTTCATATATTTTGGGCTATTTGCTTCAAAGCGTAGTTTTTTTTATGGGATCCAAGATGGCGGATCCTAAGATGACGAATATTATCGCCAAAATTGCTTGTTTTGAATTTTTTAACTTCAAAAAATACCTCCTCAAACTGTATAAAGTTTGTCATAAAATACCGACGTAGCCGGGTTGCCTAGCAACAAGATCGACCATACGTCTCTTGTTCGAGTTTTTTTTATTTTATTTGTTTGTTCGTTTTTGCTGTTGTTGTTGTTTAGTTTTTGGCAGGACCAATTTCTGCTAGTACTTAAGCAAATGTATCTCGTGACAAGTTTAGGATTATAACAAAAATATGACGAGGATGACGAACAGGATACCAATTCAGACATTTTGGCAAAGCAACATGAAGCGACCACTAGGCAATTTTGAACGACGAAAGCGTGCCTTCTGGTGATAAAGAGGATAGTTTTGATGACAATGATAGTGAGTGAGTTTTGCAGGGCTAGAAGGGATGAGCGGAGGCTGTAATCTTGAGCAAAAATTCTGAAAATTCCATTAGTAGCATTCCAGTAGAATTTTACTTGCAAAAAGTGCTTTAATGGCCCACGTGTATCCGAGATCCTTTGCGAGATTGTCTCTCGTACGAAAAAACGCCATCTTTGATTTGAAGTAATCAGAAAGGAGCTTTCAACAACAGATAATTAGTAAAGCATAACAAACAATCGTAAAGGCTTGTGGATGCACGCGGGTCTTTAATCACAAGAAGGTGGGAACTATCGGTAAACTAGTGTGAGCTGCGTCGGTGTTTCTAAACATTTTTCACGTTACCATGCCTACTTTGCTCCTATTGGTCTATTCTCTTTGTTACTCTTACTATATAAACTCACACTATACCTAGTTCCATCTCTTTTTCTCCGACGAAGGATTAACGTCCGAAACGTCAGTAAGTTATTTCACATACTTTTTTTACGGTGTTAAATTTATCTTTTTACACAACTGTTTAATCATAAGTCATGAGCAGTGAAATCACAACCGAACCACAAGCAATGATTAGTAGTATTGTGACATGGTTCTGTCGAAATGGACAATGCCCTGGAGATAAGCAGTTGTCCGTTGTTTTGTCGCTTGTCGTCGTCATTGCAATGCATCCAGATGATGACAGTTTATTGCTTAATATATTTACAGCGTGCATTTTATCTGGAATAGCCGCTTATCAGTGCAAACGAACGACAAGGTAATTAAGCCTATTTCAAAGAGGATGCTTCTATGAGTTCCTGTCTTTCTATCAGATTGCTAATTGCTTGGCCGCCAGACGTCGGTAATTTTCAAGAAAGTTTGACACAATTGTCGAAAGCCAATTATCGAATGGTTACAGTTATATATAAAAAAAGGCTTCAAATGAGTTCTGTCTAAAAGGTAARAGTAATTGTGATAAATCTGGTCATAACTCTCCGTTCAATTTGACAATGCTGATATCAAGGTATCACGTGTCTCTGTTGTCAACAGCACAGGATGAAGAATTTACGAACGACAAGCATTATGGGTGTCTAATATCAATAGGAGGACAAGCCATACAACGCATAGTTAAAGGTATTTCTTTTTTGAATATTATCTTTCATTTATTCAAGTGCACTAAATTTACTTGAAAAAAATGTTGCTGTTATTGCTGTTGTCGCTGTTGTTATTATTGCTATATTGATGTTGATGTCGTTGTTGTTGCTATATACTGTACCAAATGTTTTTCATATGTCGACATTAATCAGCATGAGCGTTGTTAATGGTTCTGGTCATTCTGTGGATGCTTACCTGTCTTAGCTTTCATCTTGCCTGGTATACGTACTAAGTAGTATTGGATGRTGCAACTGTGCCACTTTATAAATTTAACGTCAACGCGCGCTTTTTGCCTTTTTATATTTTGCAGTGAAATAAGGAATGCAGAATGTATACCTATGCAATATTTCAAGAAACGATTATCTCAGCTCAAATTGACAAGTTTTAATTGACTAAATCTAATGTGGGAAATGCACTCAAATTGACTGCATAATCCATTGCTATTGGAAAGCACGCAAATTCTACTAGATTACTGAGGTAAATGCCCGTSTATAAGAATCTTAKATTAAATCTTAAATTAAAGAACCTGTCAGTCTGAAATGTTCATTACCATTTCAGTATGAAAGGTCCAAAGTAGGTTCAAATTAATYTCCAAATATAAAGTCAATCTGTTTTATTTCCTTGCAAACAATTAATAATAATTAACAATAATGTATATTAGGGAGCTACGTAACACTTTCCAGTCAGTATTTTTACTTAGTAATGATTTCCCTTGTGTATTTGTTTTTAATGAGGTGCATATTTCAATGATAATTATGAACTAATAGTCACTAAACAAGAACTGTTACCATTATCATGAAAATGTGAGAAATATTCGGTATAAAATGCCACACCCATCCGATAAACACTCCTTTTGCTACAGAAATTAAGAACCCCATCTGGTAACCTAGGGAGCCTGATTTCAATTATACACTATTTATAGCAAAGGAACCTGTTAAGGTTGACTTAAATCTAGCGGTTTACAGTATTTATAAAAAAAACTCTTTTCAATCGAAAATTCACAAAATTAAAATTAACTATTTTAAATGGATTTAATGCAGCCAATTAAAAATTCCATGAAGTTGACCGTCAAAATGACTATGTAGTTTTGATGGAACACAGCTAGTGGTAGTATGGAATCCGGCTATGTAATCATTCAAAATAGCTCTATTTAGAGAACTATATCAAATGCACGAAGCACAGTGAGCTATAATTATCATATAGTTGATGTCCTGGATTCATAGTGCTTCAAAATGCTACTACAGTGCGCTATAAAATAACGTCGCGACAATTTCGGTGCAATAATCTACGAAGATTTAAAGAAATTTTCATGTCGATTTAACGATTGTTGAATTGGCCATATCCCGCCTCGGGGGCCGGGTGGTTGGAAGCTTATCGCCATAAGCATTATATTCCTGATATTATAATTTCTTTACATCTTCCGGTGTCTCCGATGTACTCGACGATATCAGCTTGTGAATGTCAAACCAAAAACATAGATTTTCCTTGTCATCCTAAAAACTCTGGCGGTTTTCCTTTCGCGCCATCTTCAAATAGAATTTAGGAATGATTTTATTTGTAATGTTCTATTTTGAAGAAACATTTTGGAAACCAGAAAACAAGTGAGGAGTTTTCAATATAATTGCTTATTAAAAGTATAAGAAGCTTATCCGGCCTGCGTGTAAATAATATTATTCCGACTATTATTAGAAAGAAAAGCATTAACACGAAAAGGAACTGTTTGTTAAATTGAGAGAAAAAACAGATTGACAAACCGAAACGAAATGTACAATACTTCGTAGTGTTTTTCAAATGTCTATAACAAATAGAGTGAATGTATATAAACGAATCACATGAAAAAGTTGTTGTTTTTTTAGTTCCCAAATGTTTCCCGCCAAAACATGTACTTCTTTTTTAACAATTGCACTAAAAATATATAAGAAATAACTTATTTTGAAAGTGAGGAAAACTGCTAGAAACGTTGTTATTGCAATATTTAAGACCCTTTTAATTTTAAGTTCAATATTTAAAAAACGCTGCCCTTGGGCAATGGCGTTGCTAAGCCATGAAAAGATCAGCCGAAAGCCACCATTTTAAGATTAGTATATCTCTGTTAATGGCCGTGGTTTCTCCGTGACTGTCGTTTTTGCATTTTAAATTGGTATTTGTCGACTTTGCTAGAGTGATGTGTTGGAAGTTTAAATTTGTCCCAATCTTGACAAATCACCTAGCACTAAAGGTGGCGCAAATCCTCATCATGGCTATTCTAACCACTGTATCAGCGAAAACTCTTAGAAATTATAAAAAGGGCTTTCKTAAGAAGAAAACTATATCACTTAAGGGTATTTTTTTAAATTTAAGATGGGATAGTTTATCTACTACTGTTAGCAGTTGTAGTAATCGACGGATTGATTTAAATAGAACCCTGTGGTGTTATTGAACCAGTTTAATGCTACTGCCAGTTATTAGCATACTGATTTCAAGTGAATATTTACTTTAAACTAAAACTATGAATACATGCAAGAGCCAACGAATGAATAGTAATAGTTTACTGAGAATTTATGAATACCAAACGAATTGACGTCGCGAAAAAAAAAGCGATCCCCTCTTGGTAACTAAAGCGAAATGATTTCCTGATGTAATCTTGAAAGTCGTTTGAAACAAAAAACAATTCAATACTTATCTTTGCAATAAAATGAACTTATTTTGACATACAATGATTTTAAAGCTGATAGTCAAGGCTATCGTCCACGGAATGTCAATTATGAGAGCATCAAATGATTGATCACTGTATCCAGTGAGTCTTAAGAACGACAGAAATCGCATTAGATTCTTTCTTATTTAATAACTATCTTCGATTAGGGTTGGAAGCGTTTTAGAAAACATTGATATATGGAAAATAAGCGTCATTCGTACTTGCTATGGAGTTTTAATTCATTTGACTTAATCTAGCTACCTAGTGTTAGAGGTTGCTGATTGGCTGTCTCAGTTCTGAGCGAGGGCGCCCGCGTATAATATTTGTGTGTTCTCTCTGTRGAGCAGGTGCGATGATATTTAGAAAACTCTAGTTGTACATTCGCGTACAGCCTCTCTTACATAACAAATCACTGAACTGCTAGATTGATTGTATTTTGAAGAGCAAGTGGTGATTGGGCTGATAATCCAGTTTACGAGGTTCTTCAACATTATAAGAAGGAGACTATGATGGCGGTTCGTTGACCGGTGGTATGATGTCTTGTTCTAAATGTTGTGGTTCCGATAAATCTGCAAAGGAAGATATCCAAATCGATAGCGATATTTCAGGCGAAAAGGACGAAATATTACTGCAATCGTCAACGCGCAATGGACGCATCCCGCACGATGAACGGAATCATTCTCCCAATAATGAAAAAGAAGATTACGGGAAGAGGAAAATACGTGAGCTTGTATGTTATTATATTAACCATTGTACTCTACATGGATTTCATTACGTGTTCGAAACCAAGTCGATAATGCGAAAGGTTGTTTGGTTGACAATTCTAGCGGTTGCTGCTGGGTTTTTCTTTAAAGAAATAAAAACAAGCCTTACACAATATTATCTATATCCATTTACTACGACATCAACTATTCAATATCCAGGAGCATTGCCGTTCCCTGCAGTAACCATATGTGACTTTCATGATGTGAGGAAATCTCTACATTCCACCAACAAAACAAAGATAGCAGATGTCATAAGCATTTCGTTTGAACAGTTAAAAGAAACGTTAATACAAAGTAGTCAGAGTCACGGCTTTACTAAACCAACAGCATTTTTCGATACGTCTGATTTCTACGTATTTTACTCTTCTAAAGGACAAACATGTTACACTTTTAATTCYGCGAGAAACAAAAAGAATTCCTTAAAGAGTAATAAAATTGGYTCAAAATATGGRATAGAATTTATATTAAATGTTCAACAGCCAAGCTACAGTAAAGTCAAGGAGAGCGGCTTTCGTTTTATTCTTCACGAGCACGATGAGTTGCCGTTAAGCCGGGAAGGTTTCAGAGTTTCYCCTGGATATGTAACATACGTGAACTTAAGGCTGGAGAAGGTAAGTGTATATGTAACCTTGGGGATCCAATTTGATTTGAAAAACACAAACGAGTGTTTGTGTAATGACTATGATATTCATGTGCGCATGTTGAGTCAAGAAAAAAGTACTGAGAATGTTTATCGTAATACGTCTGTACCCCATGCACACCAAAACAACCACTTATTCCTAGAATAAATTATACATWTAATGCAAACAAATCAATATTTACTTGTGTTTTTGTTGAAAAAATAATATGTTTGACCAAAAATAGGTGGATTTGACTATATATATATTTCTCGTTCAAAAAACAGGACAACAGATGCACCAAACTATAAAGCAATAATATATCAATTCCAACAATAATATATGGATTATAATGTTATGCTTGCAATTATAAGACTAAGTGGGGTTCCCCTTGTTTAACAAGTTTTACCATTGTTAATGTAAATATAGCAGCCGACTGTTAGCCTATCCTCCAGTAAAATCCATGTTTTGTATATATTTTTATTGGTAAAATATCAACTAGACGTTTTCTGTCACTTGTTAGATTTTTGTCGTTCATTCGCGGTCTGTTTTCAAATCAAACTTATAAATTATAAATTACTCCACAATCGTATTCAACCGTATTTTTTGTCGCTTTTAATTTTGCAGTAAGGTTAGAGACGCTTTRTATTTGCGGATAGAAGCAGGGATTTGAGGTCATATGCTCTCGCTAACACTCAAATCTATTTTTTCTTGTTATGTTGTCCCACTTTACTTCGCTAACCATATTTTTACAATCATTCAAACCACAAGGAGCTAAAAACCGCAATTTCCAAACATTTCGAATACAAAGCACAGACAGTAACCATCAACAAGAAACCATCACGATGAATCATACATACACTACAGAACTCAAACTGATTTAACAAAAGTTTCAAGTGGAAAATACACAAAACAATGAAGATGTTATCAATAATGAAAATCACCTTCCTTTGACAACGATGAGATATGACAACAGTGAGTCGAGACATGACTTAGCCTTCTAAGATGAATATTAAGTCCTTGAAAGTGTTAGACTAAAATCCTAGTACCTGTCTTTCTTAATACTTACTCAATAGCGCCACCAGAAATCTCCTTCATTCAGTGTGTCTTATAATTATTTATGTTATAATGTTGTTATTCTATGTACTAATTCTCGCAATTGTCGTTGGCTCTTGCGGTGGACATGTTCCGCGTAATTTCTGCGTGTTTTTTTTTGAACATTTAATAATGAAATAAAGTTAAATTGCAAAAAGATTGAATGATTATCTCAGAAAGTCTTGAATAGTGTTATTATGGGGATTTATTTCGCTGCATTGAGTGTCGAACCAATTTATAATAGTAATTGGTTGAAAGACTGCTGTGAATCCGCTAAACAAACAACCCGCGAAATGAGGTTTTCAAACTGTCCAAATCTGCTTCGTGTGGATCGCTCCTCATGTCAGCGAGAAAAGARTTTACCTTAATTCAAATGTGATATTTTATCTCGTGTTCTAAATAGATCTGCAACAGCGCGATTTATAGAAACAGAATACCGTATTCACGGAAATATAGGCCTAATTCTATGCTAGTAGGGGAGGGGGGGGAGGGGGGGTTGTTGGTATGGACGCGGGATCGCAGTGGGATTAGTCACAGCTAGAAATAACCTTGGCAATTAATGCTGTTCATTTTATAACACAGTTGATAATATATTGATGACGATTATTGATAAMAATGGCTGATAATGATACAACTAGATATTAATATTGATTATAATAATTTTAATATTATAATAATATAATGATAATAAAAATAAATTTATAGTCACAACATATCATGATGATATCTATAAATCTGTAACAATGCGAACTTAAATGTGTTATAACTCAATGATAACAGAAGAAGCTTGTTATTTTGATATTGCTGTAATTAGTTACTCACTGGTATTGCCTTAAAGTGTAGTAAATATTCTAACGATCGAATACTAACCGCCATTTTGGGTGATTTTGCTCGTGTCAGTCAAAACTCCAAGCTTAACCGAACGGCTTTCAAAAACCTTGCGAGCTTCATTCGGAAAAAAAACTTGGAGACCGGTAGATCATCTGCTTGCATATTCGGATCTCGTTCGGTTTTGAAGGAGGAGTCGCAGAGAATTTTGTTTGTTATGCTGTAGTTTCCGATAAAAGCATTATTAGTGAAATCCTTCTTTCCATATTCTGGTTGTCATGGGTAACCATGCGTAAAACAACCTAAGACGAGGCTTCGTGTATACACCTAATTGAAAAAAKGTAGTCGTGTTCGAAAAGGTCACATCATAGAAGCTAAGACCGAAAGGGATTTTGAGTACCACTAAATTGGGATTACATTTGCATATACGGTGTACACTAAGCACTGAAGTAGAGCTAGTAAGATTAACATCATGATAGTCTTTTATGCTGGAGAGCTGTTTGTTATGAAATTATCCAAATTGTTTGTCTTCCCAAGAACCCTTTCGGTCTTAGCTTCTATGATTTGACCTTTTTGGACCCGACAACGTTTCTTCAATTAGGTGTATAAGAAATAATCGCAATGATATTCTTATAATTTCATAGAGACTCTCCTTGGGATGCTTTGCGCATGCTTTAAAGAATCATAACAACCCGTCGTACCTTGCGCGCTCGTATTATTGTTTACATACGTTTAAATGCGTCAAGCATACAATAAATTATAGATTGATAGTACCTGTGAGGTACTTAGTTAAAGGTATTTCCGTCCAAACTGAAAGGACGGAAGACGATTTGCGCTCACTTTAAGAAATCCTACAAATCCSCCATTTTCGTGTCCACCTAAAATGGCGCTTCGGTTCGCAAGGTACGGCGGGTGGTTATGATTCTTTAAGAACAATCACGAAACATTGTATTGTTAAAATGATATAAAATATATTTGCTGATACTAATGATAGTAAATATGACTTGCAGGAGAAGAATCTACCGTCACCGTACAAAACCAACTGTGGGGGGAGAAGTCTGAAGTATTTTGACAAGTACTCCAGCAGTAGTTGTTATCTGGAGCTCTTAACAGAATACGTCATTAAACTTTGCAAGTGCCGCATGTGGTTTATGCCAGGTATTTATCATACATTATACAATCCGTGGTTATGCCAGATATTTATCATAGATAATTCAAGGTCGTTCTCTACTTCGTAGTCTGTTTCGGGATTCTTAGTTCCAAGGGCAGGCTACGGCGGAGAATTTCCATGTCGGTCCCCGGGGAGGATGTCGGTTTCCGAGGAGGGTTCTGTTTATCAACAAGGATTTCGAAGGCTGCATGATCCGAAAATGAAAATCAAACATTCACCTCGGTTGGATAAAGGACTATCTTTTATCTTTTAGAAATAGTTTTCTTCGTGTATTTTGTAAACCCGTTAAACGGATTTGGATAACAAATTAGTGAGGACATCGCTGTTCACGAAGAATCAGGTCTCAGTAAGTCGTCCTGCYGCGACTCGAAGTAAACGAGACGAACTATACGCCCACCCAGCCCATGTAGCGTGCAAAACATTCTTGCCATMTTTGATTTGTTAAAAAAAGAACCGAATACTGGACGAAGCAACGACAAATTTACCAGTGTGTGGTAGATAAAAGAACTTTATCAGACTATGATGATGTACTGGCACACAATGAAAAGCAATGTTCTGGCTTGCTGTCCATATAACTTGCAGTACTTGATTTCTCTCAATAACTTCGCTGCGTCTCCGTCCGGTTGCGCAGCGTGTTTGTCTTTTAGTTTCAGTTCAATGAACCGTCTGCTTTCCTCAACAAGTTAAACTAGCTACCGGCTGTGTCATTTAATAATCACCATGAAATAACTTTATCATTATCCCACGYTTCTCGCGTCAAATATTAAAAGCTTTGATGTGTGTGTGTTTTTAGAATCCATTCGTTTATCAAAGAATTAGGTACTTGCATAGCATGATTGAATCGTCTTGACGTCAGTCAAGCTGAGACTGACTTCCTTCTGATATTTCTATCGCGCTGATTGGCCAAGAACCGTCTGTCAATCACAGAACAGCCCATGATATGACATGGAACTTACGTACGAAGACTTTGCGTGCTTTATACAGAACATGTTTCCTTTCAAACTCCGAATTCTGGGTGTAACTTTTGACTTTGTGAAAAAATCGAATTCTCTTTTTGATGTAATTTTTGTTCTTTCACAATAAAACGACATTGATCAAGACTGCAGGGGAATCCACATTGCGGTTTTCATGCGTGAGTTTTGGTTATCTCTCGACGTCATTAATGTATTTTCGCTCCGATAAACTTAATTCAATTTGTTAATATGYGATGATGTTAATAATACATCAGTTTTTTGACCAAAGCTGTAAATAGACGGCAGGTTTTTAACAGTTGGTTTATTTAACACGCTGTGGGTTGTGGGATATCGATAACAATGGGTGGTTATTTGATGCATTTAGTTACATTTATCTATTTATTTTTAATAGACCATTTCAAAGATGTGCAGACGCTTTCAAAAAATATCTCAGGAGCACTTGAAAACGAGTTGTTTTTGGTTTCAGCCCGTACTCACGCTCGTCAGATATTTATTCTTTTTGAAAACGCCGCCACATGTCAGAAATCTTTGATTTCAACAATAATGCCATACTTAAAAGTAAACATTGCAAACATGAAGTAAACAATAAGAAATCAATTTTCTGTTCTTATTTTCAGGCAATGTATCCGTGTGTACAGTTCGTCAGACTACGCACTGCGTATGGCCCGTTTGGGGTGCGTAAATACAGATAAAGCGTTTTTACGTATCAGGATATTTTGTAAACCGTATATTCTAACGTGCGTTTACGCGAAAACATTTCAAACCCTTTTTTCGACCGGATGCAGTCGTGGTTTTCGGCGTTTACGTGTAAACGATAGGCGAAAACGCATGAAAAGTATACGGTTTCGAAAATTTTACGTGCGTAAACGCAGTCCCATATTGTACTCTATGCATGTATGACATACAAAGCTTGTGTGTAAATAAAATGTTTCTTAAAACATCATCCAACAACATTCACCACCATCATAGAGGAGTCGCCTAAATTACATGCCCGGTTACACTTGCTGTTTTTGCAGAGGAATTCTAGCGGCGATTGCCGTACGATCATCGTCTGAGTTTCGAACAATCGCACTGCAAAATTCGGTGGTCGAACATACACACTAGGGCGCTTTGGCAATCATTTGTCATTGCAACTTGAAATCAGCCTACATGGAAAACCTTGCATTGATGTAAAATGTAATCTTTTCTAGAACACTTTGAACAAAACTACAACTACACGTGCCCTGAGGACTGCGARAAAACAACTTATCACGCAAAGCTTTCTTCAGCTCTATTTATGCCACAGAAATTAATTCCAATGCCAAAGAACGACTACTTGTTAAAACCCAAGGATATGCCTAACAACACGGACGACGCCGTAGACTTTATCATGTGAGTATCATAAATCAGCTTCCTTAACTCCGACTAACTCTAAAATAACATCGTTTCCTGCTAAATTCCTCCTCCCCATTCCTTCTCGGCCCCATACCAGGAACGCCTGTTAGCAGGCTAATGGTCACTGGGTTTATGTTGTTATCTTTTTAAAGAGCAAATTCACAATATTCTGATCACAAATCTTTTCTTTTATTCGGTCCAATGGTTTGTTCATGTTCACTTGAACCTGAATATGGATAGTCGTGAATTACACTTACGTTGCCAAGAGTGATTCACGCGTTCCTTACTAGTAATAAACATGTCGTTACAATATACTTGATGTATCTTTCTAGGGAAAACTTTGTTGTAGTCAAGCTATATTTTGATGATCTTCGAGTGGATATAACCGAGCAGACACCATCATATGGGTTCTACAGACTTGTAGGTCAGTAATCAATCCACTAACAACCAAGGATGGGTCCCTCCCATGATGCACTCACTTACCAAAATAACTCCCTTACCCCCAATTCTGAGTTATCTGGCCCAGGGTGTAACCCGCAATTAGCGTGGGAATTATGCCAAGATCAGCGCTTATTGACCTTTTAGCTAGCCCTTTGTCCCGTATTTCAACAATTCAAATTTGAAAAAGAAAGTATTAGAGCCAAATGATTTTCGGTTCTTTTCTTTTAAACAATTTGTGCTTTTACAGCCTATAATTTCTTGGCAAACCATGAAGATGGCGAACGTATTAGTAATTGTTCGTTTTCATTCATTTCCATGAGTCAAAAGATAAAGCACTGGCGGCCATGTTGGAGGAAGTAATGACATGAGAAATCCTTCGYTGAGATTGCTCCAAGATGACCGCTGTGACGCAACTTGAAAACGAGGAATATGGTCTATTGGTCCTAGGAATTGACATAAATTAAAATAATATTATGGTTTATTTTAGGTGACGTTGGTGGTCAGCTCGGTCTAGTACTGGGTGCTAGTTTTATTACATTATTGGAGCTGGTCGATTTGTTTATTATGTGGTTCTATTTCTGGTTAAAAGGAAAATTCAAGCGACGGACATCGCGGMGACCGTAGTGTAAAACAGTCTATTATCGTTAGATGTGGCATGAGCTGCCTGCTTCTCGTCAGTGACCAGGAGCTGCTAAGAACCGACGTCGTTTTAGCGCTTTTTATCTATTAGYGTTCACCCTACACAACACGCTAAGTTTTCGTTAAGGATTTTATTAAGCGCTTAATCTAGCGAAGTATTGCGACCCTGTTGTAATCGATCAGCGTTCATGAAGGGTCTCCAGTTATAGGGTTGTTGTCATCGTCCAAATATGGTAATTATTGCCCCTATTAATTATCTAAGGCATCTCGGGCAAAAGTCGAACTTCATTCCTGTTGTTCTAAACGTGATGATTTAACATTGTTTAAGTTATTAAAGCAATTCCCTTCTGTTTTATAATTGATCAAGACTTGCGTTTTTAGAAGCAAAAATGTTTTGGCTTACCATTAAGCACACACGATGAAATGTTTTGCATGTTTTGCATTTTAAGCCTTCCTTAAAGCTTATAAAAAGCAATTAGAACAGACTGGATATGAAGTTCGACGCGCCTATCATGACTTAATAACATTGCCATTAGGTAATTCCTTAACGATCAACTTGAACTACCTGATCGATCATTGGTTCCTATAGCGGTGTGTATAGGTAGTGATAGACCTGATCTCCAAMAATGGGGCTCTCTACTTATGACGTCATGTAATATTCGACGAGATGCACCATGGGTAGTACTAACGGAATCCATATTCTTGTGSTTCTGGGTGCTTGCGAACTGTAAGAATTATCGATTTCTTGGAAAATTCTCAGTTTGACAATGAATGACGAAGGTATTCACTGGACAGTTAGTTTGACTTGTCAAGATTTGCAGGTACTTTAATAATATAAAATGTAATTTTGCAACGRAACTTCGTTTTCTGTTGTTTYRATAAGACATTCGCCATACCATGATGCACTTAGCCAAAGCAAAGATGACGTTATTGGTAGAAAAGACTCTCAGAACCGTCGTAAAGATTATATAACTATATCCTGGTAAATATACAGGGAAGCTGCAGGATGGTTTGACTCAACATATCCTGACTAACAATCAAAGTGATTTTTATACTTTTTTAACAATCGCTAACGGTCCCTTATGGAGTCTATTGGATCATTCCATGACAGATAAGGACCCTAGCAGAGAAATACAATATAAACAAGTAGATGAGTCCCTTCTATATAAGGACCCACTTGGATTGATTAAGACTCTAGTTAGTTACAGTCATAAAAGAATAAGGCCTGAAAGATAATACCCCAAATGACTTAATTGTAATTGGAAATTAGACGTCGAACTTTGCCTCGTCGAACAARGTATATAAAACTACAAAATCATTTATTTTTACAATGTTTTCGACACGGGGAAAGTCTGACGTTTGACCCAGTGTTTTTAGATKAATGTAGTAGAAAAAGCTCCTGCTTTTGAAATATTTTAAAACGCAGTGCGTTGAAGATGATCGGATAGAATTATTTTGGAGACTGATTTAGAGTGTAYAMTAGAGGATAACTAAAAGTGTGCAATATTTTGTACTATTGACCGTTCCTAGAATTCCAGCACAGTCAAGAATACGTCCTCGTTCCTGGGGAAGAATAAGAATATTCTATCAATATACACATAGATCCTGTGTTAAGCACTACGCTTGCAATAGAATTTTGAGAATCGTCAATGTACAACTAAGTGTTGCTAAATCTTAATAGTAGAAAACAATAGCATATAATTTACTAGTACTATATAGTGCACACTTTTAGTGTTCGTACTCTAGGATTGTAGATAATGGTATATATAATATGTGATTATAGACGGGGTTTAATAACGCAACTTTCTATTGTAAATAACAGCCGCGGATATTCAATAAATCCTGACTTGGACGAAACGAAACTTGGCTTAATTTAAATGTCGCTTATTTCTTTACCATAGAAACAGGAAGGGATTSGAACCCTTTCTCGATCTCAGCAGCGTGTGGCCATTAGGGCTACAGCTTGGCCTGGGCAGCTTATGTCTCATGATGCACCATATAGTGTTGAAGTGAGCAGTTCTTCATGAATGTTTCCATACAGGGCTACTTACATGAAACGGTCACATGGTACTAAATCCACCATGCTGGATGGCAAAATTACCAATGTGATAGTTCAAAATAGTTTGACGGGCTGCGTTTCTTTTGTTTTTAGTTTTTTTTTTTTTTTTTAAACTCTTCGCCATCCAGTATGACGGATTTAGAACCATGTGACCATTCCATGCAAAAGGTCGGTATTGCGACCCGCAATGCAGTTTGGGATTAACAGACGAGCAAACGAGAGCAAGATGGCAGAGTTCTCTAGTCGTATATTCCTTGGGCAAATATTTGAAAAGCTGGAAATAGTTAATCTCAAGAAGCTTACACGAAAAAGACAAGTTTACAAGCAAGTGAAACAAGAAAGACCCGCTTCAAAAAATATGCAGAGGAAATTAAAAAAAGCATATTTTATGTGAGGAAAATTCGGAACTATTTAGTGTTTTTACGATTTTGGTAAACTGTTTTGGCGAAGAAAGGAAGATTGGCATCCCATGGTACATTGCAAGTCGATTCAAAATTGCTGTCTTGATAAGGTTAGCGGTGCGTGCATTGGCGGTGTTTTCATAGAGTCTGCTGTATATTGGTAAAAAAAAACTATGCCGCGTTTCTATTATTTCTTCACCTGGGTCTSAGCTATTAGTGGTGTTGTTTTGTACGCTACGGAGATTGGCTTTCTTTCACTCAAATTGCTTTCTAATCTGTTCAATTTATTTGTGTTTTGCAGTTTTGTCGGATGACTTCAAACAAAAAGTTTTATCTTCAGCGAATACAAACTGTTGTTTTGTTCTACTCACCGTTAATTGGTTTTCTAACTTTTTTCTTCTTTTAACTATTTTTCTTATTTCATGCAATTCTTCAAACTGTTTTATTTTATTAACACCAAGGTTGATGCAGCAAAGTACACTATGAAGTTAAATCCAACCTATACAATCATCTTTAAATTGATTTTGATATTTTTCTATGTTTTRTAAAAAAAAWTTKGATATGTACCTCTTTATGGTGAAAATGAGTTCGATCGTATCAATCAATCCAGGGCTTCCTGCTATACATATTCAGACCCATGTAGAGAAGTAGGGCAATTTTTAAAGTGATCAAGTTTTAAATGATAACTAACCCAGTTTTCTTGAAGATTCGTCACGGCAACCACAACAAAAATCTAYTATGCCTACTTCAAATTTTAGTCACCTTGACTAAGAAATCATATTTATCACAGATGCGCGTAAATCAAGAGTTTTTTTTAATATTTGACTATCTAGTTAAACGGACAATAAGCGATATGGACAGCTGTCGTCTTCCGTATTCCTGCTAGAAGAGAAATTGGTATTGATCATAGATTAACAGGTAAGTCAGTTAATRCAGTTACGATAGATCATAACAGTTGATTTCATCAACGAGCGATTTGTCTATTCTTTGGAACATGCTCCGCAAAAAAAAGCGAAATAATTTCTGTTCAGTGCTCATTTGCATTGGGTTTGTGTCTGGWAGATGATAAATGCATCCCTGGAGATCAATTCAGTGGTATGGTATATTGTCGTTCCTATCTATAAATTATATTAAAAGGTATACTAAAAGAATCGAAACTAAGGGAAGGATTCCTTAAGACCAACAGTAAATTTGATGCTCATTTTGAGTCCAAATTGCCGTCGTATCAAAATTGTGCTACGTTAAGGCTACTGCTACCCTTCGCGGGATGCTTCTGTAAAAAAAAATCATAGTATCTTGCCTTTATTAAATAATACCTAMGAATAAATCCATATCATTGAGAAACCATTTTCATATTCGTGAGCTACACTTTTCAACAACCAGCGATGTCAATAAAACACCACTAAGAGCTCTTGTTGTTTATGATATTCATGCTGGAAAAATTGAAAACCTTAACTAACTTTTGATCACAAAATTGATTTACTAAAGTTTTTACAGAAAATCTCAGTCTGCGTGAGACTCTGATAAGATTACTGATGAGTTGTCAGTAGAAAATTTAGTGATAACTAAACTGTGCATGTTGAGATCAAGAGTTTTATATTTTTTATTTGATTCAGTTTGTGACACTAAGTGATTCTGATTTATTATTTTTATTTATTATTTATTATTTTTATTTATTATTTATTATTTTTATTTATTATTTATTATTTTTATTTATTATTTATTATTTTTATTTATTATTTATTATTTTTATTTATTATTTATTATTTTTATTTATTATTTATTATTTTTATTTATTATTTATTATTTTTATTTATTATTTATTATTTTTATTTATTATTTATTATTTTTTTCACTTGCTCTTAAACAACAAATATTCACCAAATAGTCTGTTTCACGTAAAAACGACGCCATCTTGAAAAGTAACCATTCCTTCCCATAGTAAAAAGTGACTGGAATACATGGAGATAAAGGGTTGACAATCATTTCAAAACAGCCTGGATTGTGATATCCCTAAATATCACCTGGGAGTCGAAAGAGATGATTTTAGTTTGAATATATACTACATGCATTACAGGTCTTACAGATACATTATACATTAATATATGTCTATAAAAAGTCTATCAAAAAGAACATTCACTTTACGTTCTTCATGTTATCGTGATATGAACGTWTCTTGTTCCAGTTGCTCGGTTTTTCAATAAATGATCCTTCTTAAGAATCAACGGGCGWTAGCGACGAATATTTTTAAATCAGTCCCCTGTATTGAAAACACTTTGCTAAATCAATATTCAAGCATTTTACAAATCAAAGAACTTAGTAGATTACCATGAAGTCTTTTCAGCAGTAATGTAAACAGTGGATTTCCTCCTGTAGTTTTAACATACGAGAGTAAATAGGTTCGGAAATAGGTTCACCRTATTTTGATAATCTTCATGTCGGCAAGGTGTTACAAAATGAATATAGAACGGACCCATGCTGTTTTCTAAGTTTTGTCTGAGATCGAAAGGGGAAATTGTGTTTTTATGATTAATCTGGCGCCTTTAAAATTCTAAAGCGACGAATTGAAGTATACGTTATAAACCTTGTGTTTTCATACTCTACAATACTMGCTATTCTTGTGAGAGAACCCACAACAATCAGTTTCTAACCGCTGAAATCACCCACATGAAAAGGTGATTTAAAGGCGCATTTTAACCCAAAAGCCTATGCGGTCGTTCTCTTTTTTTTTTTTTTTTTTTTTTTTTTGTATGTATATTTTTATCCTTTGGTTACCAAGAAAGGAGGTTTTTATTTTATCTTTTTTCACTTGACAAAAATTTGTTATGGCATGCTGTAATTTTTCACAATAGATTTCATTTGCCGATATTGGCTTTGAATGAATGGTTCTAAATAAAAGATCATACCCATTTTTTGTATGCGAAAAAAAAACTGTGCAAAGATTTTCAAAAGATATTCAAAAACTAAAGAGATATACTAAGCCAATTGAAACGGAACTTGTAGGCTCGTCAATCAAACTAACTTACAATTCACTTGATTTTTTATTGATTTTGTAGACAGTTASTGATGCAGGATTTATTTATTTATTTATTTTTTAATCTCAATGCAATGAAGGACTGTTATTTTACTGTTATTTTTTCTTAGGATAGAAACTGACTTGAAATATTTTGGGGACTCCATAACTAATTCTGTTCCACGAGCATCCAAGAAACCTCTGCGTTTCTGTTTTGTTTTGTTTTGTTTTTTGTTTTTTGTTTGTTTGTTTGTTTTTTTTGTTTTTGTTTTGCAAATGAGTCCTTGTTGAAACTGAAAGGTGCGTAGTTCAATGGTGATTGGCTCAAGCTACATTTGTAGGTCATATATGTCGAGTTTTCGAATATGATGAAATCGCACAAAACGTCTGACTTGAGATGTTGTAGCGACACTAATTATGCTAAGATACCATTTAGAGTACAGACAAAGTCTAAGTAAAGCTAATCGTAAGATACTGCTAACATTTCTAAGATATTATAAGGAGTGTTCAGTGTCTTCGGCGTTCAAACTAGTTCATATTTGAAACTATTTATGAAACTTTTTCTATAGAAGAGAATCGATAAATGAAGGGAAAATAGCTACAAGACCAGACTCGTACCCAGTCGTTACTCTTCTTTTTTCTCGGGCGCACGCAAAGAATCAAGGGAAGTTGGAAGAAAATGTGGTAGTTAGGACTTCCCTTGATGCAACGTGACCCGTAAAATGAGCAAGAGACTGGGTCGGAGTCTGCTACGAGCGACCCGTAATAAAAGATAAGAAGATGTTAGACTTAAATTAATTCGAAGTAAGATGAAACCTGGATGGTATATAACATGTAGAACTTGTTCTATATCATGCCAAAGTTGCTAGACCCTATGTCTAAATTGTAGTATTAGTGGCGATCTTATTGTGGAATAAATATATCAATTATGGCTAAATATCATGTTGTATACCAAGTGTAAAAGATATCAGTATATAGTATAGGAAACAGATGTTAGGGATCATGTATTTATTAATCAAAGAGCGAAATTTGGTTTCCAATAATCTTTATACAGTGTGGCTACTGAAACTGTGGCCACCTAGAGAATGTAAAATAATCACAATTTCGATTCAAACAAGGTTTAAGAAGCTAAACAACGATGATCAATGATATTGCAAAGAACTAAAGCTCAATGAGATGAGGTTTAGTTAGTTTTCAATCTAAATTGTGGGATTATATTCTCTAGGTGGCCCCGGTAGACGCACTGTAAAGCAAAAATGGTATCTTTGTGGTTAA